AAAGGAAAAAATGAAACAAGTATTGAACTGTAGTTAATGAAATGCACTATGAAGTTTTTAGATGGAAGTGAATTTCCCTCTTCATAAAAAAGATTAATAGATGGGTAGAGAAGTGAATAGGTGATAAACAAGTATATTTAAAATATAAATGAATTTGCTCCATGTTTGAAATTTTTCATAATAAAACGTTGATGAAAAAAGTTGAGAAGATAGTACACAGAGATAGACTAGTCTTTACCTCACACAGCGTAGTTAATGGCCTCTTCTGTTTTCTCTAGCATTTGGCTGGGTGGGAGGGCGAGGGGTAGAACTGGTTAGTGCTTTAAAGGCACTTGCTCCCTTTTTGGTGCCTCTGTAAAACTCTGAGTCCTTCCTGAATGGGCCTTCTATCCTGAGGGATCAGTTAAGTGACTGCTGGTAGCCAGCGATTGTGGTGGTCCTCCAGTACCTACAGGAAGGAACACGTTTTACACTGTGAATTAACGTAAATTACGTGTAACTGAAATGAAAGTTTCATAGGACTATACTTGCACTCTGATATTTTCTATTCAATTTCTGGGGGGAAAAAGTCAATTTTGATCCACTAATGGGTTAAGAACTGACAGTTTGAAAAATGCTGCTCTATCACATAAACCATGGAGACCAAAAGATTGACATCTATCATTTAACATTCACAGCGAACATTGCCATAAAAATCTTTTGCATTTTCAGAAGTTCCATAGAGCTTCAAAGCGTAAGAGATGTGTGTTTCGTTACACGTGCCACTGCGATCTCTTAGTTGTGTGACCTTGGGAAAGATGTTTAACTTTTTAGCCTCAGTTCCATCATGTGGAGAATGGGGATATTAGGGGAACTACACACTTCATTCACTTTCCTTTTCTAGAAAAGGATTAAATGGGGATCCCTGGGTGGCGCAGCAGTTTAGCGCCTGCCTTTGGCCCAGGGCGCGATCCTGGAGACCCGGGATCGAATCCCACGTCGGGCTCCCGGTGCATGGAGCCTGCTTCTCCCTCTGCCTGTGTCTCTGCCTCTCTCTCTCTCTCTCTGTGACTATCATAAATAAATAAAAATTTAAAAAAAATTAAAAAAAAAGAAAAGGATTAAATGAGGTGATGTCTATAAAGTGCTTAGCACAGTGCCCGAGGGAAAGGCTTAGATAAGTGGTAACTATTTTTATGAGCCATGAGTTCATGAAAATCAGAATGGGCTTCTAAGGAATATGGTGTTCTTAGTATCTTCTTTAGGTTTTTTTTCCTGTTTGTTTTTTATAGAAGTAACCTTTGGGAGTACCCGATTGTTGGCTATCGCACTCAGTAAAACAGTACTGTTTTCCAGCAGTTGGTGGTGGTGGCTTTGGCGAGAGTGCCATTTGGAAACATGGGGCGTTTTGGCAGGCTTCATCGTGTTTGTTGTTGGAGACTGCCTTGGCATAGTCCTAGGTGAAGGAGGGATGCCTGGGGTGTCTCACTGATTCATCCCTTTGGCATGGAATTCTAGATAAACTGCATCTGATTTGGGGGGTGGGCAGGAAGAGCCCAGAGGGCCTAATTACAGAGGAGTTTACCTCTTTGAAATTCCCTTACTGAGGGATTATTCTACACCATTTGGATTTCCTCCTTTTTAATCTGAACAGCTTTGGCTGCTGGTGGAAATAATTAGAACATTTTCTGATATTTTTGGCACCATTAGAAATTTTGCTCTTCTTAATTTAATAGAATCTTCGAGTTATATTGCTGGGAGAGCCCTTATAAGATCAATGTGAGTCTGCTGCCTGATAGGCCCCCTTCAGAGCAGGAGCAGTGGCAGGCTTTGGGCATCAGATGCAGCACTCTTGCTCTTATCTGGCCGGGGAAGAGATGCAGTACTCTTGCTGGACAACCGGTGCGTTTAAACCACAGCCAATCTAAGAAAATGATGACCATCACTACTGTGTGCTGCTGCAATTGCTTTGTGTGTATATCTTACTGCTTACTATATTTACCAGTTTATTACCTAGGATGGCAACCAGTTTAAAGATCTCAGTGGTGGGATCCCTGGGTGGCGCAGCGGTTTGGTGCCTGCCTTTGGCCCAGGGCGCGATCCTGGAGACCCGGAATCGAATCCCACGTCAGGCTCCCGGTGCATGGAGCCTGCTTCTCCCTCTGCCTGTGTCTCTGCCTCTCTCTCTCTCTCTCTCTCTCTCTCTCTCTCTCTCTCTCTGACTATCATAAATAAATTTAAAAAAATAATAAAAAAAAAGATCTCAGCGGCTTAGGACAACAAAGATCTGTATGTTGCTCATGTATCCTATCCGATCTGAGTCAGGATGGAGAATGTTTCTTTTTCCATACAGGCACTCAGAGGCTTGGGTGGATAGCAGCCCCAGCCATCTTGTATCCATTTAGGATACATGTCTTCCAGGTTGCCATGGCAGGGAAGAGAATTAGCCTTCACTCTTAAGTGCTTTCGTCCAGAAGCAATAGAGTCATTTTGCTCATGGTTCATTGGTCCAAACTGATCATATGACCCTGCCTCACTGTAGAGGGGCTGGAAATATGGGGGGACCTATGGACTATTTGATGAGCATTACCAAGGAGAAGTGTTATATGTGGTATTTTATTTGTTAAAACTGTATATTGAGGGGATCCCTGGGTGGCGCAGTGGTTTGGCGCCTGCCTTTGGCCCAGGGCGCGATCCTGGAGACCCGGGCTCGAATCCCACGTCGGGCTCCCGGTGCATGGAGCCTGCTTCTCCCTCTGCCTGTGTCTCTGCCTCTCTCTCTCTCACTGTGTGCCTATCATAAATAAATAAAAAAAAATTAAAAAAAAGAAAACTGTATATTGAAAAAAAATGCAGCTTCCTCTTCTCTAGATCTGCCAAGTTTCTTTACTCTCCCACTTTTCTAAGCCGCCAGGTTCAAAGAGGCTATCATTGCAGCAGCTTTTACTGATGGTCTGGTGGGGACAGGGCAGCTACTGCCAAGCACAGGGGAATGCAATCCATGGAGCAGCAGAATATGCAGTAGAGAAACAGTGGGGGAAGCTGTGACTTTATCTGCTGACTTGGTATGGTAGGTTGAAAAACACCACTTTTCCCCAAACATATCAGGTCCTAATCCCTGGAACCGGCAGGTGTTACTTATATGCGGAAGAGTTTTTGCAGATATGATTAAATTAAGGATCTTGAGATGGAGGGTTATCCTGGATTAGCCCAGTGGGCCCTAAATGGTATCATATATATCCTCACAAGAAGCAGAGGGATTTGACACCATGACAGAGGAGGAAGAGGCGGAGACTGGAGTGAGATACAGCTACAAGCCAAAGAATGCCCACAGGCCCCAGAAGCTGCAAGAGGCAAGGAGTGGATTCTCCCCTAGAGCCTCTGAAGGGATTGGGTTCCAGTAATGGGGAATGGGGCAAAAGTGAGAATTATCTTCTTATACTCTCTATTTTCATCTTTTAAGTTTAAACCATGTGAGTGTATTACCTATTCAATAAATAAGTACAGTTAACCTTTACAGCCCTGCCAGCTCTAGGATAGGGGAACATGGTTCATTTCATTTATTCATTTTCCCGAGTAACCTCCAATGCAACTTGTGATTTGTGGACTGTACATTAATTCTTTTCAAAACGTTGCCTCAAGGCAAGGGACCCTTGCATCCCACCTACTCCAGTTTCTTGTCTCTTCATTGTACTTCTGATGTTTGGGTCTAGATAAGTGGTGGGAAAGAATTATGTGGAGAAAAATGAATGATGGGATAACAATTACAACTTTTAGTTAGAGTTTCAAAATGTAATTCGATTAAAAATACCTCAGAATTACCTCTCTCTCTGGATCAAGGCTTCTAAAACAGTGTGCTAAGATTTAATTTCCTCAGCCTTGAGGAGTGCAGGCAAGGGCCAGGGTAGCCAGAGCCCCCGGGCTGGTGTCTTCTACTTCAAGAATACTACCCCTTGCTGCCAGTGTGCTATATAAATATTATTATTTTCAATGCGTGCTGTGATGCGGAAAGGTTGGTAAATACTGCTTTAGGTAAAATGTGGCCTTATATTTTAAAATACACGTTGCATAAAAATAGCTATGGAAAACAAACAAACTAGTGGGTGTTTGGGAAGAATCTAGAGATTGCTTTGCCCCAGTGTAGGAATCCTCAGCCTTCTTTCCACGGTGACCCTTGTGATAAGGATGGTCATAACCTGGTGCTGTTCTGGTAAGGTCACTGGCACTCCTGCAAAACCAAAAAAAGTGGCTCAACTTCAGTGTTTCCCACATAAGCGTACAGGAAAAGAAAGCCAAGTAACATTTTAGGAAATGATCTTGAGTTCATTCTTATTTACCAATAAACAATAAATCAGCAAAAACTTGGGTAAGTCCACTCTCTGTAGAAACAAAATCATTCTGACCCATCTCATAACTGGCATCACAGTTGAGAACCACTGTCCTCATAGAATAAGTAACATTTCATGTTGTGGCTAGCTGCATATAAGTAATTTTAAAACACCAAATAAGAGATCATTTTTTTTAAAGATTTTATTTTATTTTTATTTATTTTTATTTTAATTTTAAAGATTTTAATTATCTATTCATGAGACACACAGAAAGGCAGAGACACAGGCAGAGGGAGAAGCAGGCTCCCCATGGGGAGCCCGACGTGGGACTGGGTCTCAGGACTCCGGGATCACAACCTGTGCTAAAAGGCAGACACTCAACCACTGAGCAACCCAGGTGCCCCAGAGATCAGTTTTTTAAAGGATTAGTGACAAGCAAAAAAAAAAATACTTAGTGGTATTACATGCAGTAATATAAATAGAAACTTTATCAAGTTCAATTTTCGTTTGAATTGTATTACTTGTTGCTCTGTTGTGTCCTGGTGAGTCTGATGATGTTGGTAATGCTGTCTGTTCTTTATGTTTTCTGGAAAAAGTAACTTAAGTAGTTTGTCAGTACTATCTGAAGATGTCGAAGAGCTGTTAAAATGCTTAAAAATAAAATGATCAATTCTTCTTTTGTTCTCTTGACAGGATCATTGAAGCTATCTGCATAGGTTGGTTCACTGCAGAGTGCATCGTGAGATTCATCGTCTCCAAAAACAAGTGTGAGTTTGTCAAGAGACCCCTGAACATCATTGATTTACTGGCAATCACACCGTATTACATCTCCGTGTTAATGACAGTATTTACGGGCGAGAACTCTCAACTCCAGAGGGCTGGAGTCACCTTGAGGGTGCTTAGAATGATGAGGATTTTTTGGGTGATTAAACTTGCCCGTCACTTCATTGGTCTCCAGACACTTGGTTTGACTCTCAAACGATGTTACCGAGAGATGGTTATGTTACTCGTCTTCATTTGTGTTGCCATGGCAATCTTTAGTGCACTTTCCCAGCTTCTTGAACATGGGTTGGACCTGGAAACATCCAACAAGGACTTCGCCAGCATCCCTGCTGCCTGCTGGTGGGTGATTATCTCTATGACTACAGTTGGCTATGGAGATATGTATCCTATCACCATGCCTGGAAGAATTCTTGGAGGAGTTTGTGTTGTCAGTGGGATTGTTCTATTGGCATTACCTATCACTTTTATCTACCATAGCTTTGTGCAGTGTTATCATGAGCTCAAGTTTAGATCAGCCAGATATAGTAGAAGCCTCTCTGCTGAGTTCTTAAATTAATGCATTGCAAATCGATTCTTGCATACACTTCATTTGATAGAAAGAATTGATGCTACTTCCTATTCATCATGCGTTTCTTGCTGGGTGAGCACTGCAGTGGTACTGTTATCATGTTGGTAGGGTAAAAATTATCCTTCCCAGCTGAAGGGATAAAAAAATTTATTTATAATGGAGTAAATAGGATTGAGACTTCAAAGGAAAAGTAATAACTCCTAGAATAAATTTTAGCATCTTATTTTATTTAGGCTTGTCTCCGCCTTGAACAATTACACTTTCTGTGTTTGTTTTAAAGTATATTATTTGAACATTTTGAAACTGAAAGGTACTATTTTCCAAATGTTTTCCCATTTTATGAATTCAGAAGAAGCTTGGAAGTTGCAGTGTTTTTTGTTGGAGAGTAACATTTTCATTTCTAAATGTTTTATAATCTCTCATATCAATGTCAGAAGTATCCTGGAAACATATGTCACATGCAGGAACTGTTTAACAAATACTTTAAGAATTTGGCCAAATTTTAAACTGTATAATGGAGCTAGATGCAAGCAAGGGTAGTATTTGAAAAACTTTTCAGCATATTTCTCAATTCCCTGATTTATTTTTGTTTCAATTATTCACCTTATCATATACAGCTTCATGGAAACTTGAGCATGTTTCCTTTTTTCCATTTTGGATTTCTTTTATCTATTTACTGAAATGACTCAACTGGGTATTTCAGAACAAGGAGAGCTTTTATTGTGTAGCATTTTATTGGAGTTCATTTTACTTGAATCCACTGCTGTTACTAGGTGATAATTGTCCTAACATTCAGATGTCTAAACAAGAATATTTCCAACATAAAAACGATAATAGAAAGTTTGATACTACAACCCATATTTATCTTCTTCTCTTAATTTTTTTCCGTGGGTTTAATAAGACTTTCTGGTTGAAAGGATGTTTATGTAGCCTTTTTATACCAAAGTCATACTTAGATGTTGTCACTGGATTATCATAAAAAGAGAAATTAAATATTTCCTTACTCTTGGTTGCTATGTAGCTAAGCCAATTTTTAAGCCAGCTAAAAACAATGAATACATAATTATTTGATCTGAGCTTCACCATTTTGAATTGCAGCTACACCAAAACTTTTGTACAATTTTGAACAATATGCCACATTAATCTGGGTAGATTATTAGGACTAGAAAATATAAAACTGATGACTATTTAATGCTAAGTTTTAGCAGTATGAATTAAGATTTTGCTTTGTTAACCAGTTGCCATAAAGAGGTCAATATATAAACAGAAAAATTAAAGTCATAGATTCACAAATAGTTTAACGTTGTACACTGTAGTTTATGGGAGTGGAGAAGGCGGGTGGAGAGGGAATAGGACCTGGATGTATTTATCAAAGAATAGAAATGTTCATTAGAAGAGTATTAGCCATCATCTAGTTCGGACCTCAATTAGTACAGGTAGTATAAGTATGTCTGTGGAGGACTTCGGGCCGAAACCTGGATATCTAGAAATCTACCTACCTAGTACAGCAGCTTACTATTAGTTTTTAAAGATTTATGTATTTAGAAAAAGATTTATGTATTTATTCGAGAAAGAGAGCGCGTGCACACGTGTGCATGAGTGGGTGGGGGGAGGGGCCAAAGGAGAGGGAGAGAGAGAGAGAATCTTAAGCAGACTCTGAGCTGAGCCTGGAGCCTCTCACAACCTGAGCCTTGATCAGGACCTGAGCTGAAACCAAGAGTCAGAAGCTTAATGGACTCAGCTATCCAGGTGCCCACCCAGCAGCTTATTCTTAACACATGTCTGGGGTTTGAGAAAAAGGCTTGAGAAACCACACTTATTTGCCATTGCCATTGCAATAATAGCAAAACTGTCCCTTTTCCTTAATTTCTGAATTTATGTAATATTTTGACCATTAAAAGAATCTCACCTATATTTTTTACTCCTGCACACCAGTATGCTACTTATATACTCAAAATAAATTCTGTTATTTATTGTATATTTATTGTATTTTACTATATTTGAAATAAATGGCATGGATTTATTTTTTCCTACCTGTTTTGTTTAAGGCTTTGTGATTCATGCAAATAAGATGCAGATGTTAGCATCCCCATATTATTAATAAAAATATGGTAACCATCCATTCTGCTGGCATTGGGAAGGCTTCATGGGAATATGTCTTATGTCCCCAAATAGTTTCTAACTATATTGAGGGCTGAGATCCACTTTTCTTGCACACACCTTCATATCTGTGACAATATGTGGACAGATTTGGGCACAGGCTATTGTTGACTGATTCAGGAGAAGAAATTTCTGTGTGAAGAGGCAAGGAGAAGCACACAGCCAAATGTGTACCTGTGGAGCCACGCACGTGAACACACAGACTTTGAGGCTGCCCTTAATAACAAGAAATCTCTCATTGGTGATGCCAGACTAAGGACTTTTTTTTTTTTTTCTTTTTTTTTTTTTTCAGACTAAGGACTTCTAATGACTAATTCTAATGACAGCTCAGCTACCCATTTACTAAGAATGATGATGAGAGAGAGTTTATTCATGAGCTAAAAAAAATACATCGTGGATGTTGTCATTTTCTAGGAACAGAGGCATTTTTCTTACAACTTTCCCTGAATCTGCCTGCCTTGAAGAAATCACTTGGTAGGACTTTTTTTTTTTTGGACGTTAGGGGGAGAGAAAATGAGCAGAGGAGAGGCAGAGGGAGAGAGAGAGAATCTTAAGCAGGCTCCACACCCAGCACGGAGTCCAACACAGGGCTCAATCTCATGACCCTGAGATCATGACCTGAGCCAAAATAAAAAATTGGATACTTGAAAGACTGAGACACCCAGGCATCCCTGGACTTCTTTAGTTATGCTTTTAGACATTTCTCATAACTCCACCTTCATGGCACAAATACTTTCATTAGGATCTATATGAGTTCCAGTAAATCATTAGGATGCACAGTGAGGAAAGAGGATGGCCAAACATTTGTTGATTTTACCACATGTGAGATTGTGACTTAATCTTACATATAATTTGCCTTGTATCCTCTAAAATGGTATTTTTTCAGATTAAAGATACAAATTACAGAATACATTTTTTAAAAGATTTTATTTATTTATTCATGAGAGAGGCAGAGACACAGGCAGAGGGAGAAGCAGGCCCCATGCAGGGAGCCTGATGTGGGACTCGATCTTGGGACCCCAGGACCACACCCTGGGCCAAAGGCAGGCACTAAACTGCTGAGCCAACCAGAGATCCCCACAGAAGACATTTAAAAGTAAACATACTCTTAACATTCAAGGCCTTATTTATCCTTTTCTTTTATGGCTCTGTTGTTATCATAGGTTGCTAGTTGAAACTCGCATTTGCATTTGCTTTGCTCTTGGGTTTCGCAGTTACTTATAACCACATATTTGTAAATTCTTACTTTCTTAAAAATGTAGAAATATATTCTTTCACAGTGGCTGTCAGTGAGTCAAAGTAACATTCTATTTTTAAATTTTTTGTCCAGATGTCTTGCCTGGGTCTCCTGTGACCTGGGAAGTGGGAATGATGGGGTTATTACATTGGATATTGGTGTTGGATTGGATTGGTGTTGGATAAAAGGTTGGATTACCTTTTATGGCTTGATATTTTCTAAAAGCAACTTATTTCTCCTCTTTGCTATAGAAATGAAAAACAAAAACCTGAAACCTCCAGTTATGCTTCACTGTTAAGCTTCAATAACTCCAAACTTAACATATAGCTTCACAAAATATTTCCAGAGCTCTCTGATCCTACATAAGATCATACATTCACTTATAGCATGCGATATACAATCCAAACAAATGTGTAAATATTTCATAGGGTCATAGTAAACTTCCTTTATCTTATCCATATGTCAGCAGCTAGGGAAGTATGCTCCCAGTGGCTTGTGATTTAGCTATCATCCTGATTTGCCTGGGACTTTCTTTGTTTTAGCACTGAAAACACGGGAAATCCCTTCATCTTAGGTGAACTTGGACAGTTGGTCACTGTAGTGTCAGGTCAGGCCCCAGAAACCTGGTTTCCAGACTTTTAGTTCAATAGTCTTTGATGTACTTCTGTTTGATTTTATAACATCAGAAAGTGTGAAGGATTTCTTTCTAAATATTTTCTTTGGGGCTATGGAGCCCTTCTTATATAGGTCAAATAAAGAGCAAATATTCCTTTTAGATATCCTGGTTGTTAGGAAGGATGGCTTGGGACCAGTGTATAGGGAACTCATATTTCAGTAAAGTTTTTAAATTGCTGAACTTACAGTTGTATACCCATTCACATGTATACAAATAAGTGTAATTCATAGTTATCATTGCATTATTTAGAGGTACAGATTAGGAAGTGCCATAGCTAAATAAGAAGTAACATAGGTTGACACTTTTGTGGAATGTTTGTTTTTGTCTTTTTTTAAGTAAGCTTTAAGCCCAATGTAGGGCTTGATCTCATGACGCTGAGATCAAGAGCTGCATGCTCCACTGACTGAACCAGCCTGGTGCCCCTTTCGTGGAACGTTTTGTGAAAGTTCCATTTTGGTCAGGGAAGGCTACCTACACTTCCCTGTTTATTCAGCATGCCTTTTCATGTGGTGTTTTACTTCCTGCTTTTCCAGACCCATCTATACTCAGAGAACTGGGCCTATCAGCTCTGTCTCATGCTGCGGAACCTTCCAGAGACTTACGAAGGAAATGTTATCTGCCAGTGTGATTGTATGATTGTATTGTCCTGTTCTGTGATTAACTTTTTTTTTTCTTTTAGCAATTCCCCTCTTAGACCTAAATTTCCATATTTTTCCATTTTATCAGACATTCCCAATAAGTAGTTAAACTCTGGACAATTAGTGTAAGCTTGTCAGTTGATTGATTGGTTAGTGACTGGAACTTGATAACCTACATTTATGCTATAACTTAATTTTAGGTAGCTTTGGTAAGAATCATTTGATTTAACACTATACCAAGTTTAGTGAAAGTATAAATTACATTTAGTGGATGAAAGTCTGCGGGAATAAATATTTGGATTTCACCTACCGGACCTAAGTAATGGTATGTCACTTATACTTGAAGAAGTGATACTGTTTTATTTATGCAGCATTGTATTATAACTGA